TTGCGATATCTTGGGGCGTGCCAATTGTGTTGGGCATTGGTGCTGTGTGTGGGAAAGAGCTTCATGGCGGCGTGGAATCCGATCAATTTTCTTTTTTTTGGCCCGGCCGGGCACACACAGCAGTCGGCATCGCCAGGCGAAAGCGCCAAACCATCGCCACGATGCTCTCGCCACTTACAGCACCCATGCCCAACACAACTGTCACGTCCAGAGAAACCACAATGGAGCACACGCTCGAAGTGGTGGGATGACGATCGGCGTCCTAGGTTTCGAGACCTGCTGTTGTGCTGTGTTCATGTTGCTGGAAGTTGAACGCGTCGGTCAACAAAAATGGGAGACAGCAACAACAGCCTCACAGCACAGAGAGTCCAGCGGCATCGAGCCCAGATGCTGTTGCCCGCTGCGCGTGTGTGTCGCCCGTTACTCGTACGCTGTCTGCTGTGCTTGTGTTGTCTGCTGTATGGTGTCGCCCGCAGTGCGTGTGCTCTCTGGTGTACAGAGAGCAATCTAAAATCAAGTCATGTAGTGTAAAACCTAGATAAAGCGAACAAACTGTACAGACTTTTTTTTCTGGATGGAGCCCTATGTTGCGGCGAGACCTCAGGTGAGATTAGAAATTTCGCTTCGCTCGAATAAAAGTAGAGAGCTGACGCGGTTTCTTCGGCCTTTTCCCTGCGGGAGAGCGTAGTTGCAACCATTTTTCTCGACACTCACGATACCCCAAGGCATCAAGCCTCGTTCCAAGAAAGATCAACCGCTGTAGAGCTACCTCTCTCGGAGTGGCATTGCTATTGCTGTTGCTTCCTCCCTCGAGAAGTTATACCTGTAAAACCAAACCCGTGGCACTCTGCAACACTGAACTCCAACCAGCCGCTTTCGGCCGTTCGCATCGTTGCGTCAACATTAACCAACCGACTCTTTTTTTAGGGCGCAGGCGGCACCTCACGGCGCCAAACCTTGGCGTTGCGTTATCCAACAGCCCGTAGCTCCACCTCCTACGGGATACCATTGCTTGATGCACCTCGTCCCCTGTTCAGCGAGATATCGGTGAACACGTTAACAGAAAAGCGCGCAACTGTGCTCTCGAGGAAAAACACCGCTTGGCTACGGGCTCTTGCCCCTGCGCCAGGTCTGTTGTTGACTCCTTTGCCCGACCCGTCCTGGTATCCCCGATAACATGGCGGGCCCCGTTTTTCAGTTGATTTTGATATTCGATATTGATTTTTGGCACTTCGATAGTACAGGGCCTCAAGCTCCAGTCCCCAATCTGCGCAACAAGAATATCAAATTCAAACATAGCACATTTCGTCCCTACAGCAGTGAAACCTGTCTCTGTGTGGCTTCCGTGTACTGGTGTATCAAAGCGTGCGGTCCGCTCGTGCATGTGAAGCGAAGCACTTGGTTCGCAGACATCCATCCGTATATGCATGTGCGACAGCTTGTGCATACGCCCGCCCTTTTGCTCCTTTGCTCTCTCCTACTAATGTTGTACATGTTCGGTCCGACATGAGCAGCAAACAGCAGACTCTGCCCTGCTTTACTGCTGTCCGACGTGCCACAGCAGTACCTGGCCTGTTCGGCTGTTCGGTCGACTCTGCAGCATGCAGCCGAAACTGCTCCGGGTCCAGTTTGGCATGTATGTATAGGCACAAGTCTAATCCTCTGCGTGCAGGATTCATACGTGAAGGCACTGTCGCTTTTTTCTCCTTTGTGGAAGTAAACTCGAAGAATCCGTATGGGTGCGATGGTATGTAGAAGAACACACCCACCGGAGGTCAGTCGCTGGTCGGTCCTTCAAACAAACCGCCTAGAGAACAAGGCAAGAGCGACAGGAGGGACACAGAAGTGCTGCTGTGCCAGGGAGACAGTCGCCTGCTGTCGGGAACGTTGCGCTCATTGATGCCCTTCGACCACACTTCCTGCTCTCGCTAAAGATGGCGAGGCAACGGGATGCAAGGGTAGCGAAACTGCCTTCCCTTGACCACGATGGGGTTCAACATCCAACATCTTCCCTAAGGGAAGCATACATGACTGTCTACAAAAAACGCGCGGAGAGAGGCGGTGCGTTTTTTCCTGTTCAATGCCGTCCAGGGGTCTCATCACAACAATCACCTGTGGGACAGAGGAGGCAAAGCTGCCCCAACATCGTCGCTGCGAAACTCACCGTACGCGGCCTGCCCCTGGTCTTCGTTCATCTCGATAGCTTTCTTCTCCTGTCTCAGCAGCGATGTGCACTACTTCTGTCGTGCTTGACAAACTCTGACAAACACACAAATACATTCATTGAGCCCCTAACACCAACATGTGGAGTCAGTAGTACGCCATGGCGTTTTGGTTCGGGGATGGACCGTCGCCTCCGTGTGCTGCGCGGCGGCGCGGCGGCGACAGGGGATCGCGTTGCGAATCAAGGCTGTCGTTGCAGTCTATCAGTCTGGTCTGCGCCACACCAGACGTACTTGTTGTGGGCTTTCATGTACAGCGGCGGCCAACAAGTCGTTAGTTTCCGAAATGCATGCGCATCCATCTGTGGATCCATCTCTTGATGTTCAGTCAGGCGCTCTCGCACGCAATCTCTCTCTCAACATACGCATATGCATACTCTGTAGATGGCCATCGATCTTGTCGCAAAATTGCGGTTCGATGTTGAGTGCAATATAAACGTTGCGGAAAACCTACCTCTTTTGTACGGGGTGCGCGATAAGCACAAATGTTCTGTTGTACTTGAAGTATCACAAGAAATCCTATTCCTCAAAGAAGAGAGGGCCCCACCTCCTCCCGGCAGAGAGGAAGTCTGAAGACCCAGTAAAAATAATTTGGAAACTCACACAGAAGGGAGAGTGTGAGACTAAAGACTTTCAATACCCCCCCTTCGACTGTGTGTGGTACTGTCTCGAACGGGTAATCTTTCAGTGAAGGTGCGCAGAAGCATAATAGGTTGTTGCTGTCGAAACTGAACGAACTCCGCCTTTTACTTTGCTTTGTCAACTTCCAAACGGGATGATGGCCTACGGTCGACGACACGATGAACGATGAACCCATTGCCCAGAAACCCCTTGCTGCCCACCCATTCATAAGAACCATCCTCACTAGAACTTGGGGCTCAGATTAGATGACCCGTGAATGATCTCATCCTTGCTGTGTTAGCGTCCGTCGGCACTCCAATTTTTTTGCAATGATTGCTCCTCTTCCTCATCTTGCTTCCCGTTGTGCAACTCACTCACTCGTGATGGCCGATAAGCTCCATCCAATTTTTGTATGGGTTACCACCTTTCTTGTTCTTCGTCGTAGGTCGTACTTCCTGTATGCATTTTTATGTTTCTCTCGCAACTTAGCTGAAGATTCCCGATCTGAAGGTCCTCTGCGGGTGAACGAGCGAAGGAGTGACCGAAAGCAAGCATAAACGCATGAAAACGCATTTTCATTCATTCGTGACCGATTTCCTAACGAAACACAAGGTACGTATTTAGGTGCCCTTTGGAAACTTTCACTATTGTTTATTTTCTGTCGGGATTTGTTTCAACATCATCTCGTTTAGGTCTGCCTGGGGCGAGTAACCTCCTCTTATTTAACGTTTGTGTGCTGGCCCCGTGTGTGTGTTTTCCAAACGAAATCGATGAGATACGTACATGAGACCGGAGTTTATGTATGTAATGCTCTGGTTCCAATGAAGGGCCCTGGGTAACTCCAGCTCAGCAATCTTCAACACTCAGCCGATCAGTGGCTTAAGGCATGATAAAGGCAAGACCCACCCGTGTTCATGGCACCTTCATGTGTTTCTCTCTTGGGCGGAGGACGATGGGGAAGGTCAACGGTATCGACTACGTAGTAGTACAGTAGTGATGATCGTGAAGCCAACATGCCGAGCACATGAACTTTATTCACGTCAACGAGGGAAAGGGACAGCTGTTAATACAGCTAACTGTGATATTTCCACGATAATAACGCCACCACAGGAGGCAGGGTGGGGCAATAAACGAAAAGACAACAAGACATACTATGCATACATGTTGTCCTCGTTTTGCTGTTGGAACCCATAGAAACGAATAAGAAACACTGCTAAGGGATCTTCTGTTTGAACCCGCCTGGTACGTCAAACACACATGCACCGAAAGGTGTGTAGTGGTGCCAGAATAGGCGAGAAGAACGCGAACTACGTGCCACCGTTCGTGCAAACAGTGCTACATTCCATGGTCGGCGTTCATCAATCGTGAGTTCGCCATTTACGACGTTCGCGACAATGCCGGTCTTTCCCCGTTGCGTCTGGTCGCTCTGCCGACCGGGGTCTTCGTCCGTGAGCCAAACAAATCTCCTCTTGCAGAACGATACTTCAACCGAAGCAGCTCGTTCCCACGATTTACAAGAAGAAGATCGTTTTACACCGCAAACATCAAAACGTGTTATTTTTTCACGACAGGGAGAATCGAACTGAAGTGAAGCTTCTTCTATTAGTAGCTTTACGAGGCTAGCCACTAGACCACCGGGGCGCCCGGTGGTGGTGTAGGCAGCACAATTTCTACTCGCACCCACTCCCACCAATGTGATCGACAAACTATTGTAGCGTTGTTGAAGACTAAGCTGCGCACAACGCACGACACTTTGAGCAAAGGACAAGACCGCAAGGGTTTGAACAGGCCTTTGCTCACTCTACCCCGTTGCTTGCTCTCATATACCTCGCCCGCCCTTGGACTATTTCTTGGAATAATCAAATGAACTTTTCCTCCTTCTCCTTGCCAAACGTCGATTACATCCACAACGGTACATAGTCCTTCCTTTGTTCACATAAAAACGGGGCTGTGCACAGGGGGTGCATTTGACAAACATGGTGAGCCCCGATCCCCAGTCCCCGCATGCGGATATGGACGCATCGGAATGCCCCCCCCTTCTCTACACAACCCACACGCACAAGCGCGCGACGAATAACCGAAGCGGATCCACACAAGCGGGTCCCTTCTATAACTACATCGAAATATAGCCTCGTTTTGTCGTGCGTTTCCACCCCCCGAAATGCCCATTCGGTGTCTGATAATGCCACGGGTTCCGACTGCGGAACCCCCTCAGCCCCTCCTACCACCTACTTCTAATGTCTACAGGGCTGTTCATTTTTTCCAGTACAAATAAGACACCCGCCCACGATAGCATCCAACACGTAGTCGCTCAATCGCCGCCAACTTCTGGTCCATATGAAGCACCACCAGCGTATGAGAGGTAGGGTTTTAGGTTAGGGTCAGACCCCGAGCGTCCAAGTTTTTCTTACAACTAACCCGGACGTTATAGGAGTTTCTGTTCGAAGTGAAGCACCCGTCCGTTCAGGAAAGCATCGCGGTTACTACTTGCAGCCGCAGCCGCAGGTTCCTCCCGAGGTGCACTTGCACGAGGATCCGCAGTTGCAGTTGTCCCTGCAGCGTCAAACGACCAACGAAGGGCCGGTCCCCACGTCGCAGAAAAAAAAAACGATCCCGGGGATAGGGCGGCAGGTTTTGAGACGGGCACAGCGATCTAGCCATCCTGCACAGGTTGCGAGCTCCTCGGGCATTGCACACCAAAATTTACACTCCAAGCGCCGGCTGCTTTCCCCCATTTTCATCAGGCGCTATATACAATTGCCAACCCCCCCCCCCCCAGCCTGGTAAGCAGCTGTCATCCGTACGCAAGGAAGTAAGCACGAGATGCCGAACACCCTTAGCAAGATGCAGCGCACCCTTCATGCGACTCGCCGAATACCTCACGGTGCTTCGTGCTTGGTGATGTGAGAGCCTGGTTCGGTGAGAATCCGGCGTGCTCCGTCTCGGCTTTGTAAGGATGCGAGGTCAATGGTCTAACGACGACGGCTTTAGCACACACACACACACACAGCAGTCCTGCGATGCACCCCCAAAACTTCACCGCGCTTACCCGCAGGGGCAGTCGCCGGCGCTGCGAGAAGTCGCGGACTTGGTCTGCTTCACGGATCCGCACGTGCATGCGTCACCGCAAGAGCACGACGACCCTGGTCATGATGAGAGAGAGAGAGAGAGAGAACACCCCAAAAAGCAAAAGAAGCGGCAGCAGCAAAGTCCAGGGCACAAGGGATCAGCGGTTGGCGCACGAAAGACCAAACGACGGCGCTTCCCAGGCGGCCATTCACTGGCTTTTCGACACCAGGCCCCGCTTGGGTTCCCTAAAGCGCAGGGTACAAAAGTCAGTGCGGGACGGTTGGCCGAGAGAGAGCCGGGGAGACCATGACGGGGGCGCCCATCGAAACGACCACCGTCATTAAATCTCGCCTTCCCGTGGTTACGTCAAAGAAGCTATGCATACGGCAGTGCGTACTTGGTGCTAAATATACATCGTTCGAGCAAAACATGCATGCATCGGGGCTGAGATACAACAAAGTGCCAGCGGAAAACTAAATATCACAAATGTACACGATTTTCAACCAGCCCGCTGTCCCCGAGTCCGGATGCGAGAAACCAAAACCTCCTCTACTATAACATCATACACAAGATGATCTCCCGTTGAACACACACGCCACGGCTAAATAGCGGAGTATGCACAAGGGTAAACTCCGCCTAAAATCGAGGGAACGGCTGAAAAGCTTTGATCAACCGAGTTCTTGGTGGTACGCCGCAACGGGGTGCCAAGTTTCTGCTGCGACGGGTCCAGGTGAAATATTTGTAGACATGCACGCCGTACAATACGTAGATGAACTACAGTAATTGCTGAAGCTATCCCGGCCTATTTCTCATCTGTTGTGGAATAGACGTCTTGTCGTGTGTGATGGTGTAAGTGAGTGAAACAAGACACACAAACTCCGCCCACTGGACTCCACAACTTTTCAGCAGTAAAATAGAGCAGGAATATGCGTTGCTAAGCCGGTGGATCGATATCGACGAGGGTGAGCAATCGGGACAGACGGGAGGAGGCCGCTAGTTAGGTATCAACCTTCGCACATGCCTGGCTCACAGGGTCACATCAGGAGTACCGCACGGATGGTTGCGAAAGCCAACGAACACCTCAAAAAGTCAAAAAAAAAAAAAAAGTTCAGCGAGATGGGGTGAAGGCCAAACAGAAGTCGCGAATGTCACAGGATGACCACACTAGCCGCGAGAAAAAGCACATGCGGGGCTTGAATACGCACGCGCTCAGGGGGTACGTGTACCCACGGTTGAAAGGCGGCAGTTCAAAACAGGTGGGCCGGGATGTACGCGCTCCAACGCTCCGCCTACGTCACGACGCAAACTTCAACAGCTGGTAAAATAGGTTTGGATCTTGGCGTCTGCTCATGCGTATTCGCACCGGCTCGTCATGAAAAAAACCTTACCCCCACGCGCCTCTGGCGCAACGAAAATGTTCCCATGGCCCCCACCCATACGTCATCAAACGGTGTGCAACAGTTGGCTGCCCCAACACGTCGTCGATGCCACATGCGTAGTTTCGCCCACGGAACGTTGCACTTGAGAAAACACGACGCTTTTTCCTAATCATCAGCAAATACCAAATCACACCGAAGATATCCCCCGCCCCCCCCGTACTCCTGTCGAACCTCACCACAGCTGCAGTCGGCCCAGACCTTGCATCCTCCGCTCGACATGTTGTTTGGATTGTAGCTGCTGTTGTTTTATTATGTAGTTAGGGAGACTCTTGGGGCAAGTGTCTGTGCGTATTCTCACAATACGCAATACAACGCAGAGTCGGTCAATTGGCCCGCTTGTTGCTGCTCAGAGGCTCCGCCACCCCTAGGGCAGTACCTTAAATACTTGGGGCGGGGCCCCTGCTGTCGGCTGCGTCGTTGATTTCCAGAAACATCATCACATGCATTGATTGTCTTGCATTGTGTTGCACCCACGGCGCAAGACAGAGGAGATATCGGTGCGTTTCGACTGTGAGGTACGTGCTGTGCGACTGTTGTCACATTTCTTGTGCAAACCGTGTGACGGCGTCGAGAAGAGTGGACAAAGAGCGCTCCAAAAGTTGGAGGCTTGATCTCTGGTTCTCTCTCGCTCTCACACAGCAGTAGTTGTAGCAGCAGCAGCTAGCTCGCGAGAGCAAAACGAGCCTCTGTTTCGCGGGGAGAGGACGTTCGACGTCATCGTCCTGCCTTGACGCGTAGCTACGATCCTTTCCCACCTGCCGCTGATGTGTACTCTTCAACAACGACGCCTGCATTTCTCTCCCGTATTCTGACCAGTCGGCTTGCTATTTTTGGGGAGGTGCAGCGGGAACGGACGGAATCTGACCAGGATCATATGGCTGCGCTTGCAGATTTCGGTGGGAAGATGGATCGAGGGCTGGGGAGACGGGCAACAGCAGATGTTCTCTGGGATCAAGTAAGTACAGTTTGAAATTCAACTTGCTCCGTCAGAGGTGCTGCTACTATCACACAAAGGGTCAGGGTCCGACGACACTGCTGTACTGATACTTCGAAGTATTCACTTCAGCACTGCTGTATGTAGAGCCCTCACGTCCAAACCTCCACAGCACACGTGGGAGGCAAATTGGAGACCTGTTCCCTCCTCAAGAGCGGTAGAAGAAGTGCATGAGATAGCCAAGGGTATTATGTTTTTGCTTGACCTCTAGACAGCTTCCCTCCACTACAATTCGTGTGCTTGTATGCTATTTAGTACGACGGTTGTTTTCTTGCGTTTGGTTTTTGTTGTAGCGCACTGCTCGCCGGGTACCATGCCCGTGTGATCCCCTATTTGTACATACACAAAGACTAGAAGTTTCAACCAAAGCACCCACTCAACTCATTGCCGGACTCCTGCGCAAGTCGCCGCCGGATTGGTCGAGGTGGAGCGCGCACAACAAACAGCGCAGTCAATGACTGCGCGTCCTTGCCTCATAACCCCGCTCCTGCTTGCCCCCCCCCCCGGTGTTTGCCATGGGGATTGGGTTTTCGTCGCTTGGCAACGACGTTGTAAAACAAGCCAATTCACTTCGTGAACTCGGCAACCAGGATGCCGGTTTTTTTTTCACCTCTGTTTTTTTTTTTTGCGGTATCCATAATGGTGGTCGAGTAGATCATGTTGTGCGGGTTCGAAAACCCTCACTCCGCGCAAGGGGGATGATCGCACCACGTTGTGTTAAAATGGTCAAGCATCCTCGAGGCAGTTACACAGCAGTGCTTCCAACTGTCTCTGGAAGTGAAAGCACCAGAAAATAAACTAAGTCATAACGCAGCTGTCATCCGTACGCAAGGAAGTAAGCACAAGATGCCAAACACCCTTAGCAGGATGCAGCGCACCCTTCATGCGACTCGCCGAGTACCTCACGGCGCTTCGCGCTTGGTGATGTGAGAGCCTGGTCCGGTGAGAACCCGGCGTGCCCCGTCCCGGCTTTCTAGGGATGCGAGGTCAATGGTCAAACGACTACGGCATGCATGACTATGAGTGCCCCCCCCCCCCCCCCC